CGTGATTGACGCTGGATTACATCGATGGAGCCATTTTTATTTATTTATTTTAAATGAAAGGAATAGTCAAAAATTTACTCTGTTTTTTTTCAATTAAAGGATTTTTTTCTAAAAGTATGGTTACCTTATTTACATTGAATTTTAACCCTTAGTGAATGAGTAGGTGTACAAGTCCCCCTTACTCATTCACAACGAGGGGGGGTGGCATCTGGGTGCCCCCTTAATTAAAGGGGTACCCCGATACAAATAAGCCCCCCTGCCCGCAGACCCCCACAACCACCGGGTCAGGGGTGTGGGGAAGAGACCCTTGTCACCATCGGCATGGGGACACCCTCCCAATGCCAAGGACACGTGGCCATGTAAGGCACCCCCCTTTCCTGCCAGGCCTGTACATGGATCAAGGGTCTGGTAGAAATTTTAGGGGGGACCCCATGTTTTCTTTTCCATTTGTTGGGGGTTGGTTTCCCTCTTAAAATTCCTACCAGACCTAAAGGGCCTGGTAGGGATTGTGGGGGAACCTTTTTTCACTGGGGGAGTCCCTCCTAACATTCCTGCCAGACCTAAAGGATCTGGTATCAATTGGAGGGGGAACCTCACGCTTTTTTTTTCTCTTCTGCAGACTATTAAAAACATAAGTATTTTTTTTTTGTCTAACGGCACTTTGCTGCAACGAAAATTTGTCCACAAACGAAAATTTGTACAGACTACCGCTAATGAATTTTTCCGAATCTGAATTGCATTGACTTTTGGACCCAAATCCCGAAAAACAAGATAACGCAAAATCTGAATGAAAACGAAACAATTTTTTTGCCGGCGCACATGTCTAGTCACTAGTTTCTGCAATGAAATGAATAAATGTTATACTACAAATGCATCTGAATGAATTCATTAGGTACTGGCAAATTATTTTAGAGCTAACATGGCTGCCTACAGTGTTTACGTATTAAAGTCCCAGCCATATCTTTGAGGTCTTTTATGTCTTTTTCTTCAGATATTTTGGGAGCTATGTATAAGTGTTTTCTACAATAAAAAGATCATGTTACCATAGCTGGTAAAAAGTGTTTAACACAAAATCCAAACATGTCCAAACCTCTTTAAGATTAAGAACATTTGTTTGGAAATGTTGGAATCTCAATTTTCTACCAATCTTTACAGAAGAGTTAAATGTTTGGGTTTGTATCCAGAGGTCTGGATGAAGTACTAAATCTCAGGACATTAATCTAAGCCAGGACTGACACACTAAACACAGCACAGTATTTCTCGTGTTCTGTCTGCCTTTTACTCTTTTTCTCTCTCTTTTTAAGAGGGTCATGGGTAGAATTTAAAATGTTAAAAGCTGCGGTTTGAAAAATGCTCCATAATTTTACAACTGCTTATATTTAAAACACTCTTGTAGCTTATTAAACAATACAGCTACTAGCAAACTGCCTCCTAGAATATATCCATACAGGAAGTAATGTGACAACCAAGCTGGATTTTTGCTTTTATACTGTTCCAGTAGGCTTATATGGTTGCAGTTGTGGTAAGTATGGTAATCTGGAAGACCATCCTTAAATGCGGCCTTCCAAAACTGTTTCATTTTTACGCTGTTGCTGGTAAGGTTCGTATAGCTCTCAGGAGTCCAATAGTGAGATATTTACACCAGAATTCTCAGTATCACCTAATAATCATGGTGTTAGGTAGTGTGGAATAATTAATGGGAACTTAATTATTGAGAGTGATGTCCTGATCCAATGGAAGGGGTGGAAACGCAAACTGCAGAGATAAAAGCAAATGAAGTTCTATGGAGATATCACTCCAAGTTCTATTGAGATATGGAGTTATCCAGCCTACCAATTCTCACCCAAAACTGATATATATATATACACACAAAAAGGTCTAGGCCCAGTGACCTGATATGACTTATGACTTATTTATAGAAGCTTAAAACATGAATGGGATCAGGGACACTGTCTGTGAGAAAAGTGGCAGCACTATAGAGGTTGGCAGACAAGGGTTTTGACCTCTATGTCATTGTTGGGTCCTTTAGTGATGTAGGGGTAGGTGGAAGAACCCACAGGATGGCCTGGAAGCCGTCACTGCTGAAGAGCATGATGGAGGCACTGGAATGCAGCACTGGAATGCAGCACTGGAATGAAGAAGAGGTAGGAGACACGGGCTGCCAGAGAGTTGAATATAGGAGCTCTTCTATTGCAGGAGACAGGCCTTTAAGACTGCCTTTTACCAAGGCAAGATTGTGATGAGCTAATGGAAGAGGTAAAAGGACAGTTATTATGTTGAGGTGGAAAAGGCTTCCCTGCAGAGATGAGTTTAAATATTCCCTAAAGGTTGACAGAGATAAATGGACAGATTGAGGTAGAGAGTTCCAGAGGATGGGAGAGGCTCTGTAAAAGAGAGAGATGGAGAGCAGGAGATCTTGAGAGGAGCGGAGAGGACAGTTTGGGTGATGTTTTGAGATGAGGTTGTCCACGTCAGTGTCTTCATCAGGGATTTTTATGTGACAAGGTGCTCCGTGCAAATTTTTTCAAAAAGTGCACCAAACACCTTATCACAAACCCCTAATGAAGCCAAACATGTTGCATACACTATAGGGCACTAAGAATTTAGTGGTGGGGTCCATGTGGTGAAAACAAAAATGGAAGCAAGAGAAATTAGAAAGTTTTATAATAAAAAGTAAAGAAGAAATATAGTCCCTATCCAGCATGGAAACCACTATAGGAATCATGGTGTTGGTGGTATGCAAATAGAGAAAGATCAATGTCCAATTATATAGATATATAATTATATTATATAATAACTGTATATAGATATATAATAATATAATAACTGACTCCTACGTAGGTCATTAGGAAGATTTTAGGCCCCATTCACAACACATCCAGATCATCTCCAGACCAGGCCACATTGTTTCCGGACCCAAAATGAATCTTAATGTATCCTTATGCTATTTCTGGCCTCTGGTCACACCAGCGCAGAACGTCCAGGCCAGACCAGAAAAAATACTGCAGGTCTCATTTTGTCTGATCTGGAATGCAATGGAACTGCGGGCAGGTTCACACCTTTTTCCAAACCGGATCTGGTCCAGAAAAGGGTGTGAGCCTGCCCATGGGTTCAGACTACTGACTGGGCATATTCCACTCAGCATCCTGTTGACTTAATAAAATTTGTTTGCTAAACCTAATACACAAATCTGTTGTATTTATGAAGTTTTAATGCTTTACTTATGTAATAATCTTTAAAAAATACACTCTCAAATTTTTAAATGTGAAATGACAAGTTACCCCATTTTCATTAATTTAAACAAGAGTCATCTGTACTGTAGATAATAGACTTGTGCGCCGTCCAAAAATTTGTTCCGTTTCGTTTAGTTCCATTTCGGAATATCCGTTATTTTGTATTTCGTAATTCGTGTCCGAAACTCAATTCGGATTCGTACGAAATACGAATTTTCGTTAGTTTCGGCACATTTTCGTAACTGTACGAACATTCGTTATGATGAAGTTAAAAAGCAAAAATACCTTTGTTAATATTGGAGTCGATGTGGTAGTTGTTTTTTTATCCGAAATACGAATTCCGTTAACGGATTCCGGAGCCGAATTTCGTATTTCGGATTAAAAAAAACTACCATCAAGTTAACTCCAGTATATTAACAAATGTACTTTGCTTTTTAACTTCAATATAACGAATGTTCGTAACGGAACGAAATTCCGTCGCACATGTCTAGTAGATAACAAGGTTCAAATAGTGCGGATACACCAGCCTAGCGACAAAAATGTACAAGACATTCACTATCTCAGATACTATACGGTATTCTTTTTTTGTCTATTTTAAATTGTCCTGTGTATGATACAAATATGTGTTTTGTTAGTGCTTTATGCTTGCTAAATGTTTTTGTCTCACAGTGGTTTGACATGTCATTAAAGCAGACTGGCCTTGTTATAATCTTACCTTCACGTGTGCTGTATCTACCTTTCTTCCATTGAGCTTATATGTATATACATATTCCTGTTTGGATCTGTCTCCAATGTTTTCTTATGTTGCAAAATTGTAATAAAAATTGTTTAACCATAAAAATGTACAAGACTAAAGAACAAAGCTGCAACATGGACTGCTTTACATTTGTAGGGAAGAAAGTGGCTCCATATGAAATGGACTTTATGACATGAGTCTGAAGTGGGATAGTGCTACATTACTGGGCTCCTGCTAGGAACTGCTGGAAAACAGACGTGGAGGTGGTGGCGCACTTGTTTACATTCTACTAAGCAGCCAGTTTACTGGCATCATAAATCCAAGGAAGCTCTTAAGTACACAGTCGTGTATCTGGGGGGTCTGCATATTTGAACAGCACCAGTTTTATCCATAGGCAACGTATAAGCTGAGGGCGTGAGTGGTTGTGAGAGCTGTGTAGACCACTTGAGATATAGCACTGAGACAAAGATCCAAACTGACAGCAGGTGTGAACAATTTGGTTTATTCAATCTGACCACTTTCTGACCTCACTTAAAATTGATGTGATTTCCTAGTGTAGTCATTATTCCTGTCACCCACAGGAAAGACAACCCATGAATCTACGAGGGCTGTTACTGATGAGGCTTTACTGAGGAATTCAGGAACACAATCTTGAAACTGAACATTTATGAGAGTGAAGTCTTCTATTTAAAGTTTGGTTATTTGACAGAGTGAGGAAAGTTAGACCCTTGGTGAGGTTTTAATTGCTGCCTGTGTCCCCGATGGGGAGATTTCCTCTTAAAGTGATGTTAAACTCAGGAGCTGAATCTCAAAAAATGTATCTAAGTACCCTAACTATTAACAAAAATGTATCTTATTTGTGTATCACTCGGCTGTAGATCCTCAAATCATCTCTGAATTGGTGCAATGGTCATGTGGACCATTGCACCAATTCACATGTCCGAAATATATTCATAGTGCTGAAAATCTAATATCTTATGAATCATGGACAGTAATCATATCTTAGAAGAAGCGCTCTATGATCTACCTACTTAGACTGGATTCCCTCAGCTCCATGTGGTTGTAGAAGATACTGGTGGACAAGCTTATCCCTCAGAGTTCCAGCCAACTTAATTTTTTTCCTTGACCGGTGTAGATTGATGATGTATAATGTTATCGATCCTCGTACGTAATTTCGGCTGATGTGAAAAAAAAAACAGCAACACAATTCTGTTACATAAAATATATTACTGTAGCATCAGGTATGTTACAAATCAGTTTTTCAATATTTTGCAACTTTAAAAATGGCGAATCTTTAAATATGGTTTATTCTGACTTATAGGGGCTCTGATTTTATTTGACCTAACATGTTTGTTTCATATAATTGGCTTTGTCTATTTATTTCAAGAAAATACCTTAATTTAATAGAACAAGTGGTTTCATTTTTATAATAGAACAATTTTAATACAGTACTAAAATATTATTAAAGCCCGACTCTAGAATACAATGAAAACCCTCCCTTTATAAATACCCTTTATTACTTACCTTAAGCTATGGTCATGTGATCATCCAGCGCCGGGTCCTTCTCCCCACTGTATACTTACTGCTGGAGTCCATCATCCAGGTGTCCTTGTCACTGCTTATGTGATATGGACAATTTCCATTGGCTATCCACCAGAGGCATCCTCTCAGGTTGCAGAATACTACTGACCATGGCCTGAGGGGAGTCTAGTCGGTGAGGGTTACTGTGCAGCGCTGGGTTAGTGGTCCATGCCAGCGGAAACAGCATCGACGTGGGCTCTGGATGGGGGGACTCAGGTGAGTATAACAGGTAATAAAAATGAAACACATGGCAGGATAGTTTAGAGGGGGGTGGGAGGAAGGGATTTTAGGGAGTTTTTGAGTGGAGCTTGGCTTAAAAAAAAAAACTGCTAGAAAGCAAAAGCTGTGCATGTCCCACTGATACTGATGACAAGCCTCTCTAGTTTGCAGTTGGAGAAGAACTCTCAATAATGATATCCTCCTATGCAGCAGAATATAATTCTCTAGTAAGATATCAGATATGAAAATAAATTAGTTTGCACACAATACACCTTTGAAAAAAAAACACCCTGGAAAAGAAAGTACCTCTACAAAAGCAAGTGTATTCACATCAACAAGTCCATTTGTATCTATTAATTTATCTGACATAATTAACGGGAGGAAATCACCATCACTACATTTTACCGTAAGGTAAGTGATATGCAGTGAAAACCGCATAGCACAATGTCCTGTTAATAGTGGTTAGCATTGTGGAACTAAGCTCAGTAAACTGAACATAACTCTGGTGCTAGTCCCTTAGAAATATATATCAGGTAAATGTAAATATATATCATATATACTAGGGATGCACAGATACTTTTCGAGTACCAGTGCCGATACTTGGCATTTTCATGAGAACTACCAGGGTTGCAGCGGTTGCAGCTGGGACATGGCTCTGGCGCTCCACCACTGTCCTGAAATCATTAGTCTGTATTGTTTTAGAAAAACTGTCACATGACACTAAACAAAAATGTATCAGCACTCGTACTTGTAAGTAATCGGCAAGTACCAGTACTCGTACTCGCAAAACTGGTATCTGTGCATCAATTTATTTATATGTATAAAAACAAAATCATACATAAAACAGAGATGTACAAATCCCAGAAGCTCCGTGTGCTCCTTACAAATGACAGCTGCCTCCTAACTTTTGAATTTTTCTCTAGTGTAGTCTTGGAGCTCAAAAGTATCGGTACATGTACTCGTACTTGTACCGAGTACTGTACTTGGTATCTGTGCAACCCTAATATATACAGTATATGTTTTATAATATACTTGCAAATAAATGTATAATAATAATAATGTTTATGAATATAAATGTATAATACCAAAATAATAAAGTAAACAAATGTATAATATTTATAATAATAATACAATAGTAAATGTACATTTATATTGATACTAA